CCAGGAGAGATGAGGTGTTTATTTACCCTCCTGTCTCGCGTGTGGAATACGCTTGAGAGGTGTTTTCATTTCCCCCTCTTCGTGTGGTGGATACGCTGACGAGGTTTTAATCCTTCTCAACTACTTAAAAAAAAGTCACTTTTTGCGCCGCTAATAAACCCGTCGCAAATAATAAAAAACAGTCGTAAAAGACCTTTTTCACGGCCATGCGAACGGCAAAATGCGGTTCGCGAATGTGGGGTGGCAAATACTTTTTGGCGGAATGACAAGCAAACGTCGCAAATTATTCGCGACGCACTAAACTACTCTATGGCACACTATTTTTCCGTCGACAAAAAACAAAGCAAAAACACTAATCAACATGATTTTTAGCGACCAATCTTGTTTTACCGTCGCGGCAAAAAAAAAAGAAAAGAAAAAGAAAAAAAAGAAAAATGTTAATCGTTAACCACTCAAGAGTAGTACACTGACATAGAATTCAACGAGCTATAGCATTGTAAGTTTTAATTAGACATTTCCATTTTTGAGTCTCAAAATTGGAGTCATATGTGAATTTAATTCAACTAAAAACTTGGAAATTCTTTTATATGAAAAAAAAAAATCTATTGGAAAAGAGGTGCGTCTTGAAGAGACACGCGAATTGCCTCCAGTCTCAAACCTGAAAGTAAGCAAAGATGTAAGCATGCCATTTAGATAAAAGCATCAGAATTAAAATCTTACAAACTCAAATCCATGAAGAAAAAAGTATGCACTTCTAAAGATACCACAAAAATGGCTTTAAAAAGGTCATTAATCTTTTAACAGCAGAAATAAACTTAAGGCAAACAGTATAGTCTCTAAAATATGGGTGAAGAACTTATCTCCTGTTTGAATTTCACACTGAAATCTGAAATGGGGCCATTCCTTTCTCACAAAAGAATTTAACTTAAAACTCATCACCTTGAACTGTTATTTCCATAAAGCCTATAAATGACCATATATGAAAAAAATTATAAAATAGAACTCTACTTGAGATTACTCTGTAACACAGTTGAAATATAAAAATACAGCAGGATTTAGATAGAAAAAGAAGGAAACATGAAGTTATACCTGAGAGTTGATCTTTGAGAGATATTATCCATGTCCTTCTTTGAGATTTAATTGCACCTGTTGACACATAGTTCTAGGAAATGAATAACACAAACTGTGAGAAAAGGATACAGCATCAGACTCACTTAAGAAGAAAACAAACCTCCACATCTACTTATTCATTTTCACAATCATATACAAGAAACTAAAACTTGAATTAAACCATCATCACACAAGTGTGTGAATACTGTTTTCATTCCTTTCCATAGTGCATCATTGGTTTTTTTTATATATATATATTTTTTTAATTTAATTTAAAAAAAAAAAAAATATAACGCATCATTATCTTGAACCAATTGGAAACTACAGAGTTGGTTACAAAAACACTTCAATGGTAGTTTACTTCCTTTTTCATGACCTTTTTTGGTACAAGTCAGAGATGTCACCCAGGCCAAAAACAGTTCAATAGTTGAGACTTTGAAAAGCTAACGAAGCAAGTTACCATTTAAACCCAATTAGTAGACTAATAAAGTTCATTCTTCAAGCATGGTCTTAGCAGCATCAATCAATATTGGTCTAAGATCAATAGAAGCCCTACCAAGCACAGTATATAGATAGAATGATATATCAAGTATAGACCGTTGCCCACCTGCAACTTTTGAAAAGAATCACGGCTGATAATCGTAAAATACACTGATGAGGATTTGATTTATCCTCTTTGTGTGTGTGTGAGCCACAGATTTAACATGTCAATTACACATCTCATGTGTTAACTAAAGAAGACTTTATGCAGTTCTTAAAAATACATGAATGGAATATAAGGTTGAATGGAATGGAATGTCCATTCTCGTTCTACTATTTGTTTGCCAAGATGGAATCATGTAAGAATGGAATGACAATTCACAATCTCATGTTTGGTTAGCAGGTATATTCTTAATTATTCTTTTCAGGTGTAATATAAGTTCATAGATATAAAATTTGATTTTTCATTCCTAATAACAAAACAAATTCATATCTAACTTTTCCTAAATCCCTTGTCAAGAAGGGAGAAAAGCTCAACCCAAACTCTAGACAATAAGCAGGATGCACACCATATCCTCTTTTCATCCAAATGATAGGGACTTTGATTGGGTCACAGTGCATGACACCACGAATCCAAATCATCCCTTCTTTGAGCTCTTTGTCTATTGCGGCTTTCTCTTATATTCCTCATTGATTGACTGCCCTGTCAAGGCTTAATATTTGAGGACAGACTATTACATTAGCCTGTAGCCCCAAACTAAACTCACAGTAGAGAAATAAACCAAGCCATTGGAGTAGAGTCAGTAGAAAGTCTCTCAGTCAGTCTTTATACTTTTTCTATGACATGGGGAATGCATCTCAAAGATTCACAACATAGAAGAAACATTAGGCTTATGGAACATAGAACAGTGAGCAAAACTTCCCCATAACATCCGGTAAGAAAACTATGAACATATTGAAGTAACACACCCTCTATGTACTCTGCAAAAAGTTCTTCTGAACTCCATAACCACTACTCAAAAGAGTCAAAACCAAGGAACAACAGTCTAAAGGATGTTTTTTTACCAGGGATTAAATATTAAAGATTCATGCTCCAATATACAAGGGATCCTTTACCAGTACATTTTGGGTATAACAACTAGAGGTAATACCCAGAGAAATGCATACCTATTCATTTTCTTTTGAAGCTTGCTGCCCACTAGATGCATCTGACACCTACAATATGTTAGTATAATGTGTTAATAATTTCCATATGTATATATACAAATTGATAAAACGTAAAATTCGTTAATTTGTAAGTATTGCACCTTTCTCAAGCTCATACTCTCAGCCACACCCTGTGACTCTAAGAACAAAACACGTGCCGTTAGGTTCTTGATCATCGTAATGAACCTAGACTCAACGTCTGTGTCACACGCTGTGTGATCTCATCAATAAATGAAGGGGCTGCTAATGATTGGGATGGGCCGCTTCCTCTCGCATACACCGCACTCCAGGGCACTCCTCTCCCATAGGTCTTGCAATACCTATGTCTATCATTCCCAAGGATTTTATGGTAAATCCCATCGCAATACTCAATCATATGTTGCTCCTTAGGAACTTTCCAAAGATGCGCATTATATTCCTCCTACATTTTGAAAACATAAGGACAATGTTTGGTAAAAAGCAAAATATGTGTAAAAACCAAAATATGTGTAAAAACATGTAAACCATAGACATACCACAATTGCTACCACATCAGGATCATTCAGGTTGTGTGCCCTTTTCCAGAGACTCATCTTATCTATTCGCTCTCCTTTATGTGTCATCTGCATTTTTTTTTCAAATTAGGAGCTCAAGTCTTCACAACATAATAAGTCAAAAATGCAGCACTAGGTGCAGCCACAACTGCAACCACAAGTGTCACACCAAGTGCACTAGGTGCGGCTGCGGCTGCAGCTGCGGCAGCAATTGTAGTCACAGATGATGCCTTAGGTGCAACCACAAGATCAATACATTGAAACGAATATCTGAGAAAGATGTCCTTCCGGTCGTATGTGGAGGACCATGAAATCCCCGACTAGAAGAATTCTTCTTAGCAATCGCCTATAACATTGGTTAGAATATCAAACATTAGTTATTTATCATTAAAACATTAATTAAAATTTTATAAAGAATACATATAGCTACACTTCTTTACTCGCCCAATATTGTACAAGTTTCCTCCACTGGGTTGGCACTATGTTACTAAGTACTCTAGAAGCAATGTCCGGATCATTCTTGAATGGAACCCAATACTTGGACTTTGTCTTGCTTTTATGATCTTTCCACGATGTCCTACAAAGTCGCATACAAACCTTCTTGAATTCATCTGGACAGTATACCAAGTTGTCCTACAAAGCACAAATTGAAAGCCAATTTCATCCTCATAATTATAGAGCATACACAAATGCACAAGCAAGCTAATAATTAATAACTAAACACAATTAACAAGAAATCATAAATCAAATAACTAATAACTTGGAAAAATTCAAAAATCTAAGCATAAACCCTAACCGTAATTAGCAAAAGGGAAAACTATATACCTTCACCTCTTGCCAAATATTCTCCTTTATATCAACATGCATCACATTCCAACTGAGATATGTAAGTGGGACTCTATGCCCGTTGCGCACGATCAACCCTAATTGTCCTTTCAGCTTTTTGCCATCATCCTCCACTAGCTGAAACTTATCATCAAATTTTACTTGGATCTTAGTGCCTGTACCCCATTCCTTTATCCCTCGGGCAAATCCTTGACCTCCTCGTGTTAAGGTAGTTGATACTATATATGGAGATAAAACAGATGAAGAAGATGCTCCATCCATAGTGCGAGGTAGCGAAGGACTTGCCCGCACACATACAACCTCATCTATAGTGCAAGGGATCTTAAAGGTCTTCCTCTTTCGCTTCATGCTAAAATGAAAGAAATATGAAAAGGTTAATACACAAGAAATATGGATATCAATTTACTAATAATATAACACAAGATATAAATATAAACAAATGATACAAATCAGGTTCAGAACAAATAAAACTTTAGCAGTAAAGTTTACCTCGAAACATATGGAGAAGATGCTCCATAAATAGTGCAAGGTAGCGAGGCACTTGCCCGCACACGTAAAGCCTCATCCATAATGCAAGGGGCCTTAAAGGTCTTCCTCTTCCGTTTCATCCTAAAATGAAAGAAATATGAAAAGGTTAATACACAAGAAATATGGATATCAATTTACTAATAATATAACACAAGATATAAATATCAACAAATGATACAAATTAGTTTCAGAACAAATAAAACTTTAGCAATAAAGTTTACCTCGAAACATATGGAGAAGATGCTCCATCAATAGTGCAAGGTAGCGAGGGACTTGCCCGCATACGTAAAGCCTCATCCATAATGCAAGGGGCCTTAAAGGTCTTAACCTTCTACTTCATCCTAAAATGAAAGAAATATGAAAAGGTTAATGCACAAGAAATATGGATAGCAATTTACTTATAATATAACATAAGATACCTATTAGCATCCTCGGTTGTCTTCCCAACAATTCTTCCTTTTGGCGATACTGATAACTGTCAAGAGTGCAAGTCAAATTCAAAACCAATTTAATACATGAAAAATAGCATCAACTAACAAGATAAAGTCATAAAAAAAAAACTCCTACGAATACTGACTAGAGAGGCAACATCAACTCCAATTTCATCTAGGACCTGTCAAGTAAATAAATAAATAAATAAACAAACTAACCAACATGTGTTATTCAATTAATAATAACAAAAAACATAAATCATCTTGATTCATAAAAAACATAAACCAATAGAAGAACAAGAACAATTAAACAATGAACCTGGTTGGTTAGCCCTTCAGTTTCCTCTTCAGTCTGCTTAGCTAGGGACATTTGTTGTAAGCAAGCTTGTAATTTTGTTATTTGTTGCCTAAGATTGATTAGCTGACATGCCGAAATTTTAGTTGTTACCTGCAGAATGCAAATACAAATAAAAATAAGAAGATAAATCTGAATATAAAAACAAGAAAGAGAAATACGTTCCAGAATGTACCTCATTTCCTGTTTTAGCAGTTCTCTTTATCACCGTAACAAGTTTCTTTTCCTATATCAAAAAACAATTTATATCCGACATTGTAATTGAATAAAAAACATAAGCATTACCTATAAACTCTTTAACATACAATTGCAAGGTAGTGATTTCCCTCTCAATGCATGGCCATTTCAAGAATCAAGATCCGTAGCAAGTCACAACGAATCGTCTCCTACGGCTGAACTTATTTAGAACTCGATTGTATTTGAATTAAAAAACAACCCCACAGTAAGTAAACATT